GCTCCCCTGCTATGATTACCTACTGAAAAAACAACCCAACCAGGAGATGATATCTCCCCTGTAAATAAGTAAAAAGGTGCATTACCGTGGCAGTGTGCAGGCTCAGCAAATCCTGGCCCCCCACCTTCACTGCCCCCTTCCACTTATAAATAACTTACAGAGCGCGCGACTCCAGCTTATTTTGCTGGAGTCCGCACAGCAGCCCCTGCAACGTGCTGCGTAATCTGCTGAAAAAGCTACTGACAGGGCTCAATACAGAGCGCATGAGCCTCACTTGTGCTTTATTGATGGAGCTGCCCTGTAGGCGGTGTGTCAGAAAAGCCTTACTCAGAGCTGCCCAGGACGGTTACTCCCACCTGGGTGCTGCTGACCGAGCCTTCATTTCACCTCTCTTGCCCACCTCCCTTTGTGAAGGGTGTCCTTATCTGTGCCTGTAATGTACACTGAGCGGGCAGGGTTTGCAAGAAAAAAGATTAACTATAAATCTAAAAACTGAACACCAACCAGTACAGAAAACAGACGTACTGTATTTGTGTGCTTTCTGCTCCAATCTTGTACTTTAGCATTACTTTTTCAAACCATCTGTTGATGCAGTACCACAAACGGCCTTCTGCTCGCTCCAGTTCCATTGAGACTTTGGCCTGTTTAATTCTGCCCACCAAACTTTCATAAAACCTGCAAAATTACTACGCCAGTTTGCACATATCCACTGCTAAGCTATGACTGAGCAATTGTTATTTAGGGCAGGGGTTTACACTCTTTCCCGCACGCTCTTTATGAGTGACATACCCTTAGTGAATCTTTGGACAGATTCCTGCAGTAAACTATTACACAAAGGATTCTGAACAGACTACACTACCAAAAAGTGGTGGGGGATCCCATTTATGCTTATGTATGGCATTATTCTTAAGGTAGTAGGTGGGTGGGCAGTATATGTGTGTGTGCTCAGTGGGCTCTCCCTCCTTTGTCAGGCTGCTCATGTTCCTTCCTCCACAAGGGATGAAAACATTTCAGATGACCACCATGGAAGCCCTTGTTTAAGCTGAGCACAGGCAGCCAGCAGCGTGCGGCCAGATTACAGGAGTTCACAATCCTCCACATGTAATATCGTTTTCTCCTCAATCCCTTGCTTATTTTTTCCTGGCAAATGAGATTCAGCCATCTGTGCAGCAGAGAAGCCTTGTGACTCGAAACCTCCCCACTGACGGTCAGAATGGCTTATCTTACGAGAAGTGCCCTCCATCCACCAAGCTATCACTGATACTATCTGTCTAATGGCATGGATTGTGGTGATTTATGAGGGAAAAAAACTTACGCAAGATGAAAATCGAGAACACAAGGCTTGGTAAAAACAGTCTCTAGAGACAGAGTGAGTTGTTGCGGTGACGTTCTAATGCCCATGTCTACCACATAATGACACGGATCACCTCACAAAATGAGCAGCTTTTCTGTAACAGGAGGCCGACAGATCAAACTTATGGCAAGTTCCATTACAATCCCAGATGCAGAGGAGGAGACAGGTTTTTATGCAGACAAGTTCACCCAGCGAACCACATAAAGCAAAGGGGGTTACAAACATTGATAATCGCCCTACAGTGTTAAAAAGCCTTTGGGAACATTTAAGCACACAAACTACTCTTATCCAAAAGACAAGAAAAAAGAAAAACATCACATTATGCACATCTAATGCATACACTGCCTTCATTAGAAGGCAAGAGAATGTTAATTTCAGAAGCTGAAGAGAAAATGGTACCATCAGAGAAAAAAAGCAGTATGAAAAAGAGCAAAAATAGGCCGGAGGTTCAAGATCTGAGGATTATGAGAAAATCAAAAATGAAGGACTTGAGAAAACATCATGAAGAACACTACACTTGAACTCTAGTACTAAAAGTGGCAGCTCAGCTGAAGCAGCAGTTATAAGAATCTACAGGACTGTAATTCTGAAGTATATCTTGGGGTTATCTGAGGTTATTCCATGCGTACTCAGTTAATTAAACAAACACAGTATTTACATCTGTTTTCTTTGATATTTTCTCAAAACATTCTGTTCCTGAAGGAATTGCGTGTTTTCATCGGCTTCAGCTTTCTGTTGCTTACAGAGGCTCTGACTGCTGCTGATCAGTTGAGCATATAAAATGTAAAATTACAGACAGAACTCATGAGGATACATGCTTTTTGTCTTCCATGCGAAAAATTTCAATCAGAGTTTGCCATGAGAATTAAAGTCAGTCTTCAAAGAATCTCGTCAAGAATATAATTCAGACAGTTGATGCAAGAGGAAATAGTGTAAAAGATTCACATGACTTAACAGCCACATTCTGAAACCGGGCTGTATTTTGCAAGTAGCACTGTAGAAGGATTAAGGGATGGTTCTGCAATGATATGTTCAGAGTAAAAGAGTGAAACATATGTCGTTTTCACTGACATTCCATCCACTTCAACCAAACCTCTTACTCTCTTACTTCTTTCCCAAGTTGGCCTAAAAAAATTTACATTGGAGCTGGAATCTTGTTATTTGTTGTGAATACATTTTGGTTCTCAGAAAAAGCTACTCAGAATAAAAGCCTGACAAATTCTCAGAAAGGCCAACTAACTATCCATGTTCTGCCCATAAATGCATTCCTTCATAATTACTGCTGGTAGCTTTGACAAGCTTTGTGGTTCACAACTCACATCACATTGCTACAATGTTTGAGTCTCTACATAAGATAAACTACAATTTTAGCTAATCAAAACCAGGCAGGTTGGAAACGACAATGACTTAGAATTTGTCACCATGCTAACATATCCCAATAGTATAACCGTTTACACGCATACAAAATTAATAACACACTACAAATCTAGGTATGCTGTCTGGCTGGCCTGAATAACTGTTTTCAGAAATTGAATACTTGTTTTCAAAACCACTCTTAAAAACAATCCATAATTTTAAGTATGTTTCTGCAGCTTGATATTTACCCAGTAGGCAGCAACAACGTATTAATACTGTATTATAGAGCAAAGCGGTACTCCTAAAAACGTATTAATAGAGTGTTATAGAGTAAAGTGGCTCTATGATAAGGATCACTATACTTACTTTGAAATGATTCATCAACTTTGTTATGCCTCCATGTTATAACAAGCACTTCTCTCATTTTTTTTTTACATTTAAAGTGATTTATTAGGCAGCTTTGCTCTTTAAGCTTCAATGGCCACATGGAAAGCAGGTTGTTGCTTTCTGAGGCAAAGTGATGTGGAAGCCTTTTAGGATTCATTCAACTAAACCAGCTATAATTTATATATTTTTAAAATTTTCCACATATAAACAATGACTGTTCTATATTAAGGCCTTTGCTGATAAACTGTGTTGTAGTTTAGGCTGAAAAACAAAGCTTCCAAATAGTAAATGAAGAAACGAATACTAACATAATGAAATTATTCGGGTCAGCTGTAGCATTTTGATAAAAACCGAGTTACAATTTCTTATTAGGATCAACGGGATTTCTGTCAGCATTCTATAATGCTCACCCAGACTCACTAGAGTTACTATGAGAGAATGCATTTGTGGGCAGAGCATGGATACATCAATTGAAATACTGACCATGTCCTCTACTACCCGTCTGTGCTGTGTGAGGAGCACTACAGAGGCTTTAGGAATGGCACCTAGCATCTGTTTCTCTCCGTCTCTGTCTCTCTCCTGCCTCTGCCATTCTTTCTCCTGTACCCAGCTGATCCCCTGCCTTGGCAAACCACCTGACTCCTGAGTCTCCATCCAGCCTCATGCTAATGCAGTCCGAGCTTCATTTCATTCTGCTTCTCAGAGACAGCGGGTTGACAGCCAGTAAAAGCATTCACACTCAAACCAGGGCCTCCAGATGTGCAAACAGCTTTCTTTGCACACCAGGGATCGCTTTTGAGAGGGGGTAACTATGAAATAAGCTACAACAGCTGCTAGAGTCTAGACTCCCACTGAGAACGACACACTCCAAATCTCCTCCTCCGCTGGATTTGACTTAGTTCCTTCATGTTTGTGGGGTGGGTATTTAAAGAAATCATGATACAGTTACTGCTTTTAGCAGTTTGACAGTGGTTTACTGGTTCGACTCAATAGATAACTGTGCTATTAGGAAGCCTTTATTTATGACTACTTTTAATATATATTTTTACCAGCAATAGAACCTGAGCAACAGTGTTTAACAGTGTGAGAAATGCCAATTCTGCTATCAGTAACAAATAATTTGCTAATTCTTTATTAATCTTTATTGCCATTCTCACACTTTACTTCCTTACTATACCATCATTGTTATCCCTGTAAGAGTTTGTAAATTTTAAAACTTGTTGCAAAGTCTACAGAGACGCACTACGCAATTAATACTCTGGACCAATGAATAATTAATAAATTTTAATTTAGACTTTTTTCCACTGAAAAGATCAATTTTAAATTCACTTGAATCAGGCTATATTCAGCAATAATCAATTAAATATTTAGCAAAAATAAATGTAAACTGTGCAACAAATGAAACATCCTGGGATAGCTTTGGAAAAAAGCTACAAAGTGGTGCGCCTTTTAACATGAAATGGTAAAAATCAAAGTGTAGGCAAGTCTGAATTAATACTGTCACATATAGTATCCACATACAGTATCCACAAAGTGCATTTTTAAAAAATGTACACTTAATTCTGGTCTTGAGCCCATAACTTCAATGTACATTCTGATGCAGTGACTGAGAGTGACTGCTCAAGGCAGCGTCATTATTTATATTTGCATGTATGCCGCACACATTGTTTGAGACATTTATTATCCTTGCCCCGAGTCCTGTCTATCGTTTGCAATTCATTGTGCGCTGACAAATTGCGAAGCGTTCTCTGAAAAATGATGCCAACTTATGGGTGCCGTGAGAGCTTTCCTCCACGTCGAAACTCATATATGCGGCCCTGCAGATCCTTGAACCTGACAGCTATTCTATATGATCCACCAAGTGTGTTTGAAAAGAGCACAGGTAGTAGACAGCAGTACAGACCTCTGACAATGATGTTTGTGGACTTCTTGGCGGGGTTGCCGACGTTGTTACTGGCCACACAGCTATAGACACCAGCCTCTTCGGTGCTGATGCCAGGGATGGTCAGTGTCCCACCGTTCAGGACACTCTTCTTAGGAAGGCCCTCAGCATTGCGTACCCATGTTAGGACTGGGGTGGGCTCCCCACCAGAAGTGATGCAGACCAGAGTCACTGTCTGTCCTGGGTTAGCCACAATGGGGTCTTCCACCAGCAGCTTAATGGTGGGAGATGCTGGGAACAAATTGGAGCAAATATTACTAAAACTGATATATGGTGTATGGTAAGGTGGTATGGTCTGGTAAGGCCTGAGCGATATTGGCAATGATTAACAAGTAATGCAATGAAATGCTTTAAAGGCAGTGATCACCACGTTAAGAAAAAGAACAAAAAGAGAACTAGAAAGGACTAATTTAATTTTAAACAGGTTGCTAATAAATCCTACGTAACATGCAGATGTAATGTTTTATTCTCTTTTACTGTTAAAACAGCTTTTACTGAGTGCAACATACAACATACACTTGTCCTGATCTACAGGCAGCTATAGTTCTTTTCCAGAGTGACTCTGCTAAAATGATGCTGTTACATATCTGCAAAAGCTCCCTGTTTTGTTTGTTTGTTTGTTTTTTTTAAATATGTAAAGCACATTGGACGTGACTTTGGAAGTCAGCCACTCATTGGCACATGTCCATCAGTCTAATGTTTCTCCACAAGAGGAATATATTAGCATGCAAGTCTGTTCAGCATGCATCATTTAAGGAGAAGAAACAGCTATGAACCCACACTAGCAGGGACTCACATATGTAAGTTTGCAGTCACATATTTCAAAATGAGAGGTGAAATAGCCATTATTACCAAAAGATGCTCAAAAAAGCATCAGTGACTAAAGCTTTCAATCCTTACAATCAAACCTGCCCCTAAATGTTTCTGGCATAAGAGTGCTAGCATGCTGAGAGGTAAGTGTCTTAAAGTTGGCTTTATCATCAGCATAAGACTCTATGTGTGGCTAGAGCGATGCTGAGAGAAAGAAATAAAGAGAGAGAGAGAGAGAGAGAGAGAGAGAGAGAGAGAGAGAGAGTGGGACACAAACAGAGAGACAGCCAGAGGGAAAAGACTGCTGGCTCTGATCAGGCTCTAATGGATCCCGTAAAGGTCAGGTCATAGCCACGAAAGAAAGTGGAGCCCACCGGGACAGATAAAGAGTGCGTGGAGCCACAGGGGCATTTACTTAAGAACATGGTTCTTCCAGGGACTGAATTAACTGCGGAGGCAGTGGTGAAAACTGCAGGGAACCTTCTCCAGCAATCAACAGGCCGGAGGAGTAGAAAAGAATTGGCAAGTCATCGAGTTTAACAGACTTACCATGCTCTCCAACAGCTGTTCTGCTCATGGACTATTTGCTACTGGAGCATGCCACAAATATCAGGTCAGTCCACAGCAGGTTGCTTGAAACCAATAGTTTGGCAAATCAGTAAAGACTAAGGGCACGAGACAGAAGAGAACCTGGCAAATCAATGTTACATCTTTCTTGGTGTTTTGCTGTTTGTCAGGAAGCAAAACGTACCCGTTCTGTTGGTGAGTTGGAAGAGTACACTCTTGTCAGGGATGCCACAGACATTGCGAACCGAGGCAGTACAGGTGTAATTGGCATAGTCCTGAGGTCGAAGGTTTTTCAGCTTGAGGATCTTTGTCTCCCCCTGCAGCTCAGAGAAAAAGGTTGTATGTAAAGTCCTCCAGCAAATGACTTTCATTCTTTGACACTTAACATTTCAAGTTCATGCATAATACACCCTTGCACCACTCCTTTTTCGACATCCTTCAGACACTCAGTACTGATATAGTTCTCATAAAGAAATATTGCTGTTAATGGTCCAAAATTCATGTGAAGGGTAGCCTTCATTAATGTCAGTGCTAGAATAAATAATGAATCAATCTCCTAAATCCATATTGATTAAATTCTAAATGCAGTTCCACACATTCAAAAAGAATAAGTGCATGTTTTACTGAGTCACAGTTTAACAACTTCAGGGTTTATTCATTTTGCCTGGGCTGGCTTTAATCATCTTTAAACAGCACTTTGAGCATAAGCGGAGACACATCTTATTTCAGTCAGTTGTTCATCATTATTCCCACTGGCCACTGGACTTTTACACAAGAGTCTTGCATCATAGTTTAGCTAGTTCTCATTTTACACCATTAACCTCAAATCATTATACTGTACTGGATCCTAATGGCTAAGAGTTCACTCTGTGTTGCCCCAGATGACGTTTCCCATCCTCTCTGACAATACTGAGTTTAACTTAACTAACAACTTAGACTGGAATTTCAGTATTAATACATTTTTGTCAAATGCTTCAATTAGTCAAGAAAAGTAGCACTTCATAGTCAACATCTATTCTAAGTTACCAGATGCTCTTTTGAACAAATGGCTTTTTTTGTGAACCAATGACAGCAGCTATGCACTTTTCATGTTTGCATTTCTGCACAAGAGTGAGAAAAGGCTGGGTCCAACATAACACTGAAAATCTCTTTTGTCAAAAGCATACGGGCTGATCCTGTGCAATTCTCCATCCCTTGGGGAAAGGGAGTTCAACACAGCCCCGTTTCCTGTAACTAATTACAGATACGAATGCATTCTAGATTTTTGAAATGCCACTCAGCGGACGATCTCTCCACAGTATCTAGCGTAGCGGGATCACATCTGAAAATCTGCCTTTGTGAAGCTGTCAGAGCCGATGTGTTCCCCACTGGTCCAGATAAAACTCCTGACGTCAAAATGCTTTTCACTCAATGCATCTCTTGTTAGTGATGATGACTCTGAAGTGAAAGCAAAGGATTTTGCCTTACGTCCCACAGAGATTCTCCTGCAGGCAGGTGGAACTTGCAGCATGAACGAAAATGTTAGAAAGATGCTAAAGTTTGTGACATCTCTTGAGTGGGAGAGAAGTAGACCCCTCAATATGAAACTGCCTGTGAACTTTTTGAAATGGCTCGAAAATGTCTGCAGAATTACCCTTCTAATCTGCTTCTAATAGGTACACGCATGCCATCTTTTATACATACTTTGAAAGGCCAGCCACTATTTTAAATAGGGCCAGACCGATATGAATAATACTAATTTTAAGGCAATGTGAAACTGTGTAAAACTTAATTTTATATTTTAGATATTACATTTATATTCCCTTAGTTTTAGTTAAACAGTGCTTTACTGACAACATGATTGTCAGTTCACAGTTCCATGTCTTAAACTCAAATCAACAGCAAAAACTCACAGTCTTACAACCCCATTTCCAAAAAAGTTGGGACGCTGTGCAAAATGTAAATAAAAACAAAAAGCACTGATGTGCAAAACATCTAAACCCTATATTTAATGGAAAATAGTACAAAGACAATCATATCAAATGTTGAAACTGAGAAATTTTACTGTTTTTTGAAAAATATATGCCCATTTTGAATTTGATGCCAACAACACATTTCAAAAAAGTTGAGACGGAGGCAACAAAAGGCTGGTTAAGTTGTGTAATGGTGGTTAATTGGCAAGTCAGCAACATGATTGGGTATAAAAAAGCATCCCAGGGAGGCTGAGTCTTTCAGAAGTAAAGACGAGGAGGGGTTCACCACTCTGTGAAAGACTGCACGATCAAATAGTGCAACAATTCAAGAACAATGTTTCTCAATGTAAAATAGCAAAGAACTTTTGCTTTTCGTCATCTATGGTACCTAATAACGTTAAACGATTCTGAGAATCTGGAGAAATGTCCGTATGCAAGGGACAAGGCCAAAAACCATCATTTGCTGGTTGTGATCACTGCATTAAAAACAGACATGATTCTGTATCGGAAATCACTGCATGGGCTCGGGAGCACTTTTGAAAACCATTGTCTGTGAACACAGTTCATCGCTGCATCCACAAATGCAAGTTAAAACTTTAAAATGCAAAGAAGAAACTGAACATAAACAGGATCCAGAAATGCTGCCACCTTCTCTGGGCCCAAGCTCATTTAAAATGGACGGGGGGGAAGTGTAAAAAGTGTCACGTTGTCCGACAAATCAACATTTGAAATTCTTTTTGGAAATCGTGGACACTGTGTCCTCTGGGCTAAAGACCACTCAGCTTGTTATCAGCACAGTTCAAAAGCCAGTATTCATGATGGTATAGAGGTGCATTAGTGCACACAGCATGGGTGACCATCTATGAAGGCACCATTCATGCTGAACGATATATACCTGTTTTGGCAACATACGCTGCCATGCAGACAATATCTTTTTCAGGGAAGGCCTTGCTTATTGCAGCAAGACAATGCCAAACCACATTCTGCATGTATTACAACAACATTGCTCCGTATTAAAAGAGTCTGGGTGCTAAACTGGCCTGCTTGCAGTCCAGACCTGTCAGCCACTAAAAATATTTTGCACATTATGAAATGAAAAATGGTGACCCTGAACTGTTGAGCAGCTGAAATTCTATATCAAAGAAGAATGGGAAACATTTCTCTTTCAAAACTACAGCAATTGGTCTCCTCAGTTCCCAAACGCTTACAGAGTGTTGTTAAAAGAAGAGGTGATGAAACACAGTGGTAAACATGCCCCTGTCCCAAATTTTTTGGAACGTGTTGTTGGCATCAAATTCAAAATGGGCATATGTTTTTCAAAAAACAATAACATTTCTCAGTTTCCACATTTGGTATGTTGTCTTTGTAGTATTTTCCTTTAAAAACATGGTTTACATGATTTGCATTCTATTCTTATTTACATTCTGCACAGCATCCCAACTTTTTTGGAAATGGGGTTGTATATAATACAAATATTGTAGCAATAAGGGCAGTGGTACCCAGAGTTCTACGTGGTTTGGTTTTTGTTAATTACCTCTTATTATTCTTAGTTTTTATCAGTTCACACCAGAAAAGGGTGATCTCATAACTTTATTCTCATGTTAAGGTTTTCTTACATTACAAGGTTTTAATTATTCTCTTTTGAAATATGTTTCTGAATTTTAAATATGATGGCATTTTGTGTTCAAATGTACTGGTTCAGCTTGTATTGCTGTCTTGTAATTACTCATTATAAGAGGGGTTCCCAGTGTCACAGCCCAAGTTTCACTCTGACATCAGGAGACTGGAGTTTGATACCCAGCTGTGCTGTAATCCCAAAAATTGCTGATTAAAAAAAATTCTGGCTAATGATACCAATATTACTGGCAAACCAATAAATTTCAACTTTGACGCTTTTAAATATATTGAAATTTGATACCATTTTCGATACCAAAGGCAAATAAAACTGAGGATCTTTTATTTTGTGCATAAACATGTCCAAACACACACATTTTCTCTTGTCTTCACTCCTCTAAAGTGAGGCTCATTTCACACAAGCAGTGCAGACAGAGCGGCATGACAAACAGAAATACAGCTGTTGTGTCAACATCCTTAATAACTAAATTCTTTATATTTAACACGAGAGCATTCAGTTGTCAACACAAATAAATGTTGAGGCCATTACTGGATGCTTTAAGGTAACTTCAAGTTAGCTTAGCTGTTGTTAGCATTTGTTGCTTTTAGCCCTAGAATAGGATAATAAGCGTTTAGCACGACGATAGTTTAATGAGAAACCTTGTTAAATGTCACAGAGATACTGAAAAGGGAAGCAATCACCAACCTCCTGGAACACCATGTACAGGTCCGCGTGCTGGTAAAGCTGGTAACATTTTCTGATAAGGACATTTAGACATACATTATCAAACTATCTACCTGCAGTTTTAATACAAGGCTGAAGTTGTCTTTTTATTTGCCAGCTTCTTGTTCAAAGTTTCCCATTACACCTTAAATGGTGCAGAAGCCTCAGGTGTCACAATGTAACTGCTGCACCATTAAAGGTGGAATGGGGAAATTCAATCAAGAAGCTGGCTTCAGCTTGGTAGTTTTAATGCTGGTGGTATTTTTTGATAAGGTGATTTAGGCTATCAAAATATCCTACCTACAATTTTATGTACGGAGATACCTACAAGGTAGCACTTCATCAGAACAGCCTTTCTATCTTTATTTGCTTTAAAGCCAAAGTATGTTCACACAGCACTCCTGCTGTCTTCTTTGCTGCTGGATGTGAACTCACTGCAGCTGCCATTTCAGCATAACAAAGCGCACCGCTAGCAAGACCCCCTCACAGCGGTACGTTATGGAAGCCTATGTGGGTCAAAAGAAAGCACGAGCAGGATAGCACATTTGATATGAATAGTATCGATACTGCAGGAAATGAGTATTGTACCATTTCAAAATTTTCAGTATTGACAACACTATTGGACACTACTTTATAACACTCTCAGACATAATGGGTGTGTCTCAAATCCTAGTGAGCTCTCTACATAGACAGCATTTTACGTCACAATATGCGCGCTCCCAACAAGAAGGCTGTCCCAATTCTTAGATATCTCAAATATGCTGCCTACTGAGGTACCTCATTTTGGCCCAATATTGAGACAGCATCGGATGTTTCCTCAGCCGCTGAGGCAATCCCGCGATGCAGCGCGGTGCAACTTTTGTTTGAAGAAGGCGGGCAGAAGCGCTTCGCCGAGAAGCGACGTCATCTTCAAATGTAAGTTGTTCTGATTTTCTGGGGTATTTATCTGTTTTCTAGTCATAAAGGTGCACAAATAGGCTATACTTTCCACATTTGACCACGACTATTGTCTATTTTGCTGTTTCATTCAGAGCAAATACAATTAAAATCGCTATATAAACTGCCAGAGCAGGATCCATGTTTGGTTAAATGTGATTCTGATGGCTGAGGTAAGAAAACGCCGGTCTCGTCACAAGCGGCGACGTCACTGCCGTCTAACTAGAGCGTCTCATTTATCTGTCTTATAAGGATAGATGACGGTTGGAACGCTGCCTACTTAGACAGCTGCCTATGTAGACAGCAGCTACTTAGAGAGCTCACTAGGTTTTGAGACACACCCAATGTTTTAGGGGTGGTACATACAGCAAGTGTGTGTAAACTTTAATACAACTTGATACAATTCACCAATGCAACATGTACTCTGTGGTGCAACTGCACAACCTCCATCATTTCTAAAATCTACAACTTATTCACATTTATCTTCTTAAGTTTATAGTCAACATGCCATAGTCCAGCAGAGGAAAGACAGTTCCACACATTTCTGAAGCATGTATGGGACAGCAGTAATTAAGTAATCTACCAATTATTTTGACTATAGTTTACTTTAACGCAAAATAATAAAATAATATAAAGGATTTAACTAAACAATAACAAGTCATGAAAAGACTTGGATTCCAAAATATGTTACTAAAAGAAGAAAATATAAAACCTTCAAAGCCTATATATAAAAGCATTATGTGGCAAAAACACATATGAATGGGGTGAGCAGCAGGAAAATTTAAGATATGCATTATTATCAAGCAAACTGCTTGGAAACTGAGAAAATGCATTTTAATCAGTTTTTTAATATTAAAAACTGAATTATAATTGAGTAACTGTACAGATCTTGACAGACCTTCTACTTTAGATACTTTTAAAATTTACATAATTTTAATGTAAAACATAACAAATTTCAAATTTTAAATGCAAGTGAAATTACACATTTATGCATAAGCCTTTAGATTAAAATGCATATTTAGCTACATGTCCAAACTTTTGACTAGTAGTGTATGTGTGGCTTTAAAACTTACCTGCGTAAAGAAAGGCTCATAGATCTCTACGCCTTTGTCAGAGCCTTGAGATAGAAACTCGCGTCCACGTCTCCAGCTATATCGCACTGGGGGGTTGGAGTTGGCAGCGCAGCGGAGGAAAACCGTTCTCTCATAGTAGAACTGCTCCTTAGCTTCTCCTACACTCTGGTGTACTGTCACCACAGGGTCATCCAGATCTAAAAGGAAAATGATGCACATATAACACAATTTGAAGCGATGTCTAAGGGTTAAAAAGCACACCAACCTCTGGTTCATGTGAACAGCAAAAAGAGTCTAAATTGATGGAAATGTACACAAACATAGAATCTTAACACAATCTACGGTGTGCTAACAGCAGTACAGCTACACTCTTACACTGTCCCTCTCTTTCTAACGGTCTAAAACCATTAATTTTTGGTTTTCATTATGTCTCAAGTAGTCTAGATTATTGCTATTTATTACATCCAAAGTAGTTCCAGTGCATTCAGCTGCACAGGTAGCTGGCTTAACTTGCACAGCCAGATAAAACAGCACCCTGCTGTTTTGATTAAAGTACGCTGCCTTATCCTCACTAAACTGCAACAGCACAAAGGGAGTCTGGGAGAAGTAGTAATATGGCCAAATTTATGTAGACATCTGACCATCACACTAACATGAGCTTGTCAGAAAAATCATGGGCATTAAAATGTTGGAAGCATATGATTGTCTAAAATGCTGTTGCATCTACATTACCCTTCACTGGACCTGAAGGGCCTGGACCAAACTCTGAAAAAAGCCCCAGACCATTATCCCTCCTCCACCAAACTTTAATGTTGGCACTATACATTAAGATAGGTAGCACTCCCCCGGCATTCACCAAACCAAGCTTTATCCACCATTCATCACAGTGATTCATCACTCCAAAGAACACTTTCCACTGCTCCAGAGTGTGCTTTACACCACTTCAGCTGACGTGTGGCATTATGCATAGAGATCTTAGGCTTGTGTGCAGCTTCTCGGCCATGGAAACTTCAGCACTTCAACACTCAGTGGCCCTGTCATGTGAGTTTGTGTGGTGTACCACTCCATGGCTGCGTGGTTGCTCCTCCTAGATGCTTCTATTTCACAATAATAACACTTATAGTTGACCTGGGCAGATCTAGCAGGACAGAAATTTCACAAACTGACTTGTGGCAAAGGTGGTATCTTATGGCAGTGCTAGCTCTACATTACAACCCATTCTACTGCTAATGTTTGTCTATGGAGATTGTATGGATATGTGCTTATAGACCTGTTAGCAATGGGTGTGTCTAAAACACCTGAGCTCAGTAATTAGGAGGGGTGTGCACATATTTCTGGCCATATAACGTATAATGCAGCAGCGGAAATAAAACGGTTATCTCCAAAATTATACTACAAAATATCAAGATGCTTCTTTCAAACATTTGCTCAGTGAACTTAATAACTGATCATAAGACTGTTTGACTGTGTGACTGGTCTCATTAAAGACTCTAAATACTGTCCATGTTTGTCTTTCTTTATTTTTGAAACAGCGACAGCTGACATCTAGCACAAACATAAACAGCAATTTTAGTCTTCATAATGGAAAAAGATTTAACATGTCAAGGTAAACTTACTGAACAATTAAACACTGCACAGACACTGAGTGACAAGCAAAAACTTTGCTTGACAGCTTCTATAATGTTTTCAATAAAGGGCCACTTAGGAATCAGTTTTGCACTTCTATTAAGAGTACTTTTAAACCTGTCATATTAGGTCTAAATAATTGCTGCAAAGTGCTGTAGCACTATATGGTTTATACTCCGCCATCAGAAAGCTGAAACCGAACTCCTTGCCCTGCTTTCACTCTTCTTCCTTCCACGAAACGAACACACAATTACAAAGAAAAGCGCACAATTGCCTTTGAGACTTTAAGATCTGCATTTCACAAAGAAGTTCAAAACCTGAAACCTGAATCAGCTCATTATTAGTTTCACTGGTCCACTGCCTCCACCAATCAGCAGCATCACATGGAAGACCAGATGTACATATGAGCGCAGTGCAGAATATGTCTTGGTGCGACCACAGCATGCACACAATGTGTCTGAAATTAACTAGGGATGCACTAATAAGGGAATTGTGGTGATGTTGAAATCCAATATTTTTCATGTACATATCTGCACGATACACAAACATTTATCAAATGTAGAAATTGGGAGCATTATGGAAAAACAGTGCTGCCATGATCACGAAATTTTAGCTGACAGTTAATTGCCATATAAATACTAGCACTTTTCTTGTTCACAGTTTGCAAATATTAAAATACAAGCCTAAGGCTATGTGCACATTACCAGGCTGAAGTGGCACAAATCCGATTTTTTGCCTTAAAGTGAATCAGATCTGATGTTTTCAGGGCTGTGTGGATACGCAAATATTTTCAAATCTGACCTGAGTCACTTTCATGTGGTCTTAGATCGGCTATGTATCCGATTCGTGGCCATGTGACCTTAATGAGAACGCTCAGATTGGAATTCATGTGCTTTTTTTCCATTGCGCGTGCGCCATCATTCAGCGTCACCATAGCAGCAGTGCCGAACAGATGTTAAAGCCTGTAAACGGTGTAAACGCAGCACATCTCACCTTTTTCACCTTCGTCTCGCTCTAATAACGAACAGCTAAGAGCTGTTCAGAGTTAATTATCTTCACAGCGAAGGCTCGTTCTGACCGTTTGTTTGCTGATGATACATGTGACGCACGCGATTCATTCACGTGACATTACTGAGTAGGATGTGCGCATGCGGGTCATTTCAGGATGATGGTTCATTCACAGTAATGACAGATTTGAATCACTTACTAACTAGTAATGCTTACTTTGTTGCTAACACTGGTTGGTACTGTTAAATCAACACTGTGCGCACTCTCACACAAAAGTCTACAGTTAGACAGACTAATAAGTGTAGTTAAAGCTACACGTTCTTCACGAGAGTGATAATATAAGCAAAAAAAAAAAACAACACTCATTCTGACAGGATACATGCTAAAATTTTAAATTAGCTACACAGCTAACAAATAAACAAACCTTACTCAGCACTGCCCAGACCACCAAACTAGAACTTCTTTTTGTTTGTATCCACCCCATGATGTCTCAATGAATGCATTTACTGAGTTCTTTCATTTACATTTATCTGCCTCAACTCAACTCACCCAATTCACATTTTGTGTATTGCTGCATAATATGACTGAATATGCAAAAATGCAGTCAGCTTTAATAATTGTGATCGTCTCAAATAACTGTAATTATCTCAAATAATTGCAGTTAGGTAATTATGTAATAATTGCGACCGCTCTACAGAGAAATATAAAGTTTATTTCTGCAGGATTACACATAGGTTAAGCAAAAACTGTCTGCTAAGTTCATTAACACATACATTAATACATTAATACATTTACAAATGAAATTCTTTCCCACCAAAACATTCTACAGGAATATAATTCTACACCAGCTAAGAAAACAGAATTTGTAAAACAACAGCACTTACAGACCTCTGAAATCGTGTGTCATTCATCACGCCCATATTAGCAACTCTGGGTCTAAACTGGATTTCTATGACAAAACTAAATGATTTTCAAAAAAACACCACCATCGCGCCCCATGGTACACAAAACGATTCTAACAAGCTTAGCACATCGGGCCCTGAGAATCTACACAGCAGTGCTTGACAGTGTTGTTGTTTATTGGCAGAGTGAGTCCCTCTTCTTTATCAATGACATGTGTCTGCTCTTTGATCACTGCATCTGGAGTAGCATGGTCAATAAGAGCCCATGCCTACTGGTGACTCGTCCAGCATGGAGCCGGGATAACGACGATAAGCTCAAGCCTGATTTGGAAGGCGGGAGTAATGACTCTCTCTTCTCGCTGTCTCCCCGCGGCAAAGCTGCCTGCCACTGTCCATTGCTCCACCTATTTATCTTACATCTCCCGCATAAAGCACTTCAGCACCAGCCTCATGCTTGTTCAGACAAAAGAGTGGCCTACTTTGTTTCGAGAGGTGAATCCAGACACAATGATGAGCACAATCTCAAACATTCATATACAGAATTAAGTATGTTATATTATTATGCTGAAAGAACTGAGTATATGAAAAATGGTCATGAAATGAGCATGTCAGGTGTCACTGTACTTACGGCTCTTTCAATGCCATTTCGGAGGTCATCCAGTGTTGTTGGGAGTGGTGGCACATACACAGAACCCTTAACGTACCCCCACAAAAAAAAAGTCACACGGTGTGAGATCTGGTGGTGCCGGTGACCTTTTTCTTGGAACTGTTGGTACCAATGACGAATGCTCTGAGCTGTTGGAGGTTCACTGCCATACTAACAGTCAGAAACTCTATGACCCCCTCTTTCAGTTGTAAAAATACAGCGCTTTGAAATCGGATTAATCTTTTTGAATTACTCCAATTTTTTTTTTTCAGTATTAAGTGTGCCCATCCTTTGCATTTATTTTAGCTTTCGTCCTTTTCAGGAAGAAATCTGCAGGGATGAAGTTGGTTGTATTTTCTGCTTCTAACTATCTAAGTAATCCCAAACACATTCAGTGATTCTGGGCGTTGGGCAGTCCATTATTCTGAGAACACTGGCAGGTTCTTTGCTTGCAATTTTTCTTTTTGTCTACACATTCTTTCAGACTCATAGCATTTTCTTCTCACAGCGCTGTCTTCTCACGGTGGAAGGATGAACAGAAACAGATCTGAAGTGAGAGTAGTTGTGTTTCTCCTGTCTCAAAAGGATGAAAGCTTTAATTACTGTTCATCTGTTAGATAAACACAGGTTTGGTTCCTGACTTCTCAGTGCACTTAAGCCACTGCATAGAATTGTTAAATTCCATTAGCAGCACCTGATCATATTTAATGACAGACTGATTAGCTAAAGGAGGTATTGGAAGATAACTGTAAATACTGGACTTTCTTAAGAAAAGCTTTGGAAATGGATAAGCTAACACAGTTTGCACAGTACTGTATGCTACGCCTACGGGATTTTCCTGTTAAAGTATTTTACAGTTTCCGGTACATGAATCCTTTACGTTTTAAAGCAACATGAACAGAACAAGTGCTTTCAGAGCATATTCCCTGTTTTCATTCTCAGTTTTATCCCATTTGTTGCCTTTTCAAAGACAAGCCTTTCATTTCAATTACGTCCACTTACCTGCAGCTCGACAAATTCCCGTTGTCAGTTACGGTCTAACACTGTGTCACTAAGCACAATGATGAGACTGCGCAGCAGGTAAAATTAATACTGCCTCACAGAGCTAAAAGCTTACATGCTCTCAAAATGATGATGTGTGGAAGTACAACCAAACCTCACTCTGGCAGACAGCAGTTTTGCACACAGGAATGCTTTTATGTTGGGTAATTTTAGAAATGTCCAATTAGGGCCAGTTTAGAAAATGCACTGGACAAGCACCAGTTAGACATGGGTGTAATGATCCATTAGAGTCTAAGTTTTACCATCATTGCTATTTTCAAGTGTGATTTAATCAGAGAGAGTATTGATTTACAGGGCCCTTGTGTTCTCTTCCCAGTCCAGATTTCTCCTGAATTTATGCAGTTTTTACAAGACAAATATATATATATATTTCATATATCTTAGTGAGGTCTGTTTGATTATCTACATTGTACCACTCAAATGTCTGGAATCAATGTTATCAATAATCTAAATGCGATTTGAGTAGACACAAGTGTATAAACATATTGTAACATGCTAACTTTTTGCGACATCGCAGGTTACAAATAATTTGTAAAAATGGAGAAATTTTAAGTGAGTCCAGAATTATGAGCAGAGCTGTAGAGGACTGTAAAATGAATTGTAAGCTCAATAATACAGATGTTAGGATACCACTTTTTCTCTCCCAATACTGGTACCAAAACCTTGGTTAGTACTTTCTTTAGCTATAATTTTTCCTTTAAAAACTACTAAGCTTTTCACCGAAATAGGGCTGCACACTAAATTGTATTTTTAGTGTTATCACAATATGAGTTATCATGATAAACATATCGTTAAAAGCTGCAAAGACAGAACAGATCAAATAACCTCATACATGCAGTGCTAGAGAGACATCATATTGCTGGCAGAAACTGTTAGAATGCTTTCCTGCGGTGGACTAAACCCTCTTTTTCTACGTGGGGGGGACAAGTAACTTAGCCATTCTGCTAAATGGCCAATTACATACCACGCATGTGCACAACACAAAACTGTTTCATCTTGAAATACACACCTGCAAAAACCCTTCAAACAATAGGACTGTTCTCACACCCAGGTTTAAATTATAGTAAGCATTTATAGCATTTCTATGAAATAATCATACTATGGGAGCCTGCTCAAAACCTTGTCATTTCCTGAATTTTCTGCCACAAAATACCTGATCCAGCTCAAGGGCTCGATAACTTACTTGATGTGTTTGGGGTGAAATTATTTGAAAATGTGTGTGGCAAGGGGTTTGCAAGATTAAAGCTGGGCCTAATGATTGAATAAAGTGTGAGTAACGCTAAAAGCAAAAAACATTGCCTATGGTTACGTTTTTGTAACATTCACAAAATTCATCTTGTAATTTGAACTAAATTACATAAAAAATCAGAGCTCAAACATTTACTTGGAAGATTGCTAAATTAGCTCACAGGGCAACACAGGGCAAGTGTGTCAATTGGAGGTGGAAATATTTTGACTTTGGGATGCTGTCAAATTATTTAATCACAAGTGATGCTATGACATGGTTTAGAGTGTAAATTGTTGGCACATGTAGTTTTAGTGACATGAAGTAGCACTAAGTAGAAAAAATAGAATGAATTTAGTACTTCAGTAGCCTTTGGACATTCATAAAAGTGGTACTTTGAGTGTTGGTCTGTATAGATTCAAAATTTAAACAAGCTATTTTAAATTGAAGCACTTCATCATCAAGATGATCATCTAAAAGTAGGCTATCATGCTGAAACTACTCAAACACACTACTACCCCACTGGAATAAATACACAGCTAACATCACATAACACAGTGTGAGAGTGTGCTACGTCAGGCTAGGACTGGACCAGATTCATTCTTTTTTTCTCTCAAAAAATCCTGTCTACTGTACAAAATCAACAATTAAGCTATTATGAAATTAATATCCAGAATTCATCACATTTCATAAGGATAACATTGACATAAAAAGGTCTAAAAATACCTTTTGGCGAATCGTATTGTATTGTATATAATTGTAATATTTAAATCAACTCTACTGTAAGTTATTTTATATATGTATATATATATATATATATATATATAGACACACACACACATATTATTGTATACAAAATAACAAACATGGTTAATATTGGTAATATATTCACTTTATGTACAGCTAAATGTTTTTTCTTTTTCCATGCTAATGCAGAGAGCAATATAATTTCTGTCATAAAATCAGTATGACAGTCGTCCTAGAACACTGTGTGATATTATGACTGTACTGGATGTGCTTTCAGCATCTTTTGCTCCGAGATTCAATTCTTAAAGTTTAACTTAATGACGATGCGTCTACATAATGACACCGATCCTCTGAGCTGCGTTCTGAGTCATTCTGTCTCATTATCCTCAATTCAACAGGGCACTTAAACAGAGAGCAGGCCCACAAAAAGCCGAGGAGAAAGCATCATCAGTCCGTGGAGAAGCTAACGCAGGACTAGCACCCTCTTTAGGGGAGTTGTTTAGAGGTGAGGGACAGCATATTCAGAGTGTTTGTGTGGTCAGGGCTGACAGGGGGTAGGCCTTGTTAACTCACAGTAGACGTCCACTCGGATGGACTTGATGGCGGGGGAGCCGAGGCCGTTCTCTGCCTTGCAGTAGTAGCGGCCACCCTGGTGCCTCTGGATGCGGGATATGCGCAGAGTCTCGTTAAACACGCTGGAGTCCTGGAAGCGGTCAGAAGCACTGCCTGCTGTCTTGGTCCATCGTATCTGAGGGAAAAAGGAAAGGCAGGAGGTTACACACGCTGATTAAGAGCTTCATGTCAATGGGATGGTCAGCGGTGATGGAGTTCATCTGTTGTATCTTTATAAAGTCTCTGTAATATAACTGTGAAAATGATCCACACATTTTTGACAATATTATTTGGACACTATTAAGACTATTAATTGAATATTATTTGGATGCACACAGTTAACAGCGCTTGGGTAAAGAAATTAACATGTTATGAATGGGAAAATGTACATTATTTGCATTTTCAGTAAATAGTAATTGCATTTATTTTTGATATTTTATTATCATTTAACATCAATGTCAATTCTACAGATTTTTTAAAAATTCTTCATAATTAACAGGGACACAGAAAGGTGTTTTAAATTGGGGTGCTGAAATTTTGATGAACAAAGACATCATGCTAAATGATTTGCCCATTTTCCATTTGAATCTTTTTTGATACTCTGCATCAAACAGAATGTGTCATAGTGCACTATAATAAATACATATAACCAAATCCTCTCTCTGCTCTCTCATTCTCAACAAACTTTATGCAAACTAAACAAGTGGCGACCAATCAAACTGTTGACATGTGGCATGGTAACAAATTGTGTCACATCCACAGTCATGAGGTAAGATATTAACGCTGGAAAACGCACTGAGTGGGATAAAACAGTTGATAAAAACATTATTATTATGTTAGAAGATTTAAGGTTTAAAAACAGTTTCAGGGTGCTTTGGGACTCAGAACTGCCCTGTATTCTGCATACACTTTCACTCTTTGAACCTCAACCTGCATGTGTTTTATTGATGCGCCCCTCAAAGCAGCCAAGACTGTGGAGGGAAGCAATTCAGCTCACTGTAATGAAAATACTGTGCTAACTTAAGCAGTGTAGCTACTACAGGTTTTGAAAAAATGTAAAATAAAAATAGAAAAATACAAAAAGTCCACTCTAAAACAAGCATGATTTAGTTTTTGCCATGCTCAAATCATTACCAAGTGACGATCTCTGTATTTTTATTACTTTCCTTAGCAAATACAGTTCTGAAATCAGCACCCCTACTTCCCGCGTCCCTGATAATTGAATCATTGTAAAGAAAGGTACCACATTCCCAAGTGGTGCAAACGTCTAAGCCAGGGGTGCACAACTCTGTTCCTGGAGAGGTGGTGTCCTGCACAGTTTGGTAGTTGCCCTACTCAAACACATTCAATAAACCTGCCAACAAAGAAGTTAAATCAGGTGTATATAAGCTGTGAGATCAGCAAACTATGCTGGACACTGGCCTTCCAGGACCCCTGGTCCAGGCACTGGCCCTATTGTCAGGAGATCATAAGTTCGATCTGAGTCCAGAAGAGCAAAACTGGGCCTGCTCTCTCCCAGTGGGTAGGATGGCCCTCCCTTTCCCCCATTGCTAGACAATGCAGGCAACTGTTCCCTAATGTAACAGCATTATGTTCTCCTCTAAGCATGTTCAGCTCGATGTTGCGTTAGCCACAACTCAAGAAGACGCAGTGGCTGGCTGCACATGACTCTAAAAAAGCATATGCTAGCCGTCACCCTGCCAGTTTGGTAGCATGGTCTGACAGAAGGAGACTTAAGTAGCGTGTGGAAAAGGAAATTAATATATTTGGGGGAAACTGGGTAAAAAAATTCCCCCAAAATTACACATTTATGAACAGTTTCTAATACGTTTGCATTGTCTGTTATTAAGTCATCGCTGTGACAATACAACAGTCATTTAACAGATCAATGAGTAGCCAAGCTCCTGGTACGCTACTGTATAATAAAGCTATACATCAGGCTGCAAGTCCTCTATTGAAGGCAAGAAATCAGCCAGAGCTCCAGGCCAGCCAGAACTGACAGCTGTGAACTGGTCAGCCTGAATGTAACTGAGCAAGGAAACTCCTCCACCACTGCAGCAGAGCCAGAGTATGAGTGAGCCTTTCTGTTCAAATGTGTTGCCAGTGAGTATGTGTCACGCATGTAACGAACTCTCAGGGAGAGTCAGACTCCATTTCCCAGAATACTCTGGGAGGTCATGTGACTGAGAGACTTCATGCCGAGTCACAGTCAGAGAAAGACTCCAATACCCACAAGTCACTCAAGGATCACGTGACTTCGGACAATGTCTCACGCACCTGTCAACGATCAAAGTCTCCTGAGTATTAACCTGTTTCACCTGTGCTTTTATCATGTGATCTGTTTAGCTTAGTATTTAAGCCCAGGCTGTAGGTAGAGTCAGTGCGAGGTATTGTTTCCCAGCGAACTTACTGAGCGTTTATTTCTATCTGTATATTTCTGATTATCCGACCTTTGCTTCATTCTTTGATTTGCCTCTTGCCTGCCCTTTTTGTACCATTGCCCTGTCTTTTTGATCTGTGTTTTTTGAACTTGCCTGCCTGTTTTTCGACGACGTCTTTTGTCTTGTCCCTTTGGTTTTGTTCGCCTGTTGTTATGATCACCATTGTGATCCTACTCCGCTTTTTGGTTTTGATCCCTGCCTGTGTATTGACAACGAGCCTGCTTAGCGATAATAAAACCTTTTTTACTCATTTAATCCGCACGCGTCTGGATACTGCTGTTTGGTTACAGTATGAGGTATACAAAAATGACATGTTTAAACGTATGCATGCATGTAAAAAGCACTGTAAAGCAAATGTGTGGATTTTATTACGTGTAAATAAACAGCACTGCCCCTGTACATATACAGCACTGAAGAACGCCATTACCAAGCACAGTTCAATTTGCAATACCCTAACCTGCAAACAGGCAGGCAGCACCTGCCGCTAGTCCAAGTCATACAGTTCATACCTTCTGCAATGGAAGGACCTATGTGTATTTGTTTATAAACACCAAGTAAAAACCTTTACTGGTCTTCTTAACAAAAAAAACAAAAAAAAAAACAGCATGCAGGCATATGCAAATTTGCTGTATTTGCATTAGCATATGTCTACTCATAAAAGCTATGCTATTTATAGTGTTTGCCCACCTTTATTTACAAGTTCACAGTTTTGACATGCTTTGAAGTACAAAGAGCACTTTAGAAACATTTACTTCCTAACCATCACCAGAATATCTTTTTTGTTTTTTTTTATTTTTAGAATTGCACAGTACAATAATGGGAAATATGACAAGCTGTATTTATTGATAATAAAACTGCTGAATATTGTACGAGATCCATTTATGAGGACAAGCATGAGAAATGTGCAATAAATAGGTGCTGACTCACTGTTATCTGGGCAGTCCAAACTACAGAGCAATTCACATGGAATTCCTTAGAGAATTTTCTTATACCTCAGACTAGGGACGTGCATAGGTACTCAAGTACTACTTAACCATTCCAGGTGGCAACATTAAAATAATGAAATCAATAATGTGGTATTAGTTATGTTGCATTACGGGAAGAGGCAAAGATTATATAAGCTACCAGCTTAGTTTTGCTTGTGTTTGCTAAGTATGTATATTACACTTAGCTACTATGAATTGCATTAACATGAGTGCACTGCCAAGGATGGATTGTTAAGGATGAGACTAAGTCAGCGTGACTGTATCATTAACTAGGTTAACTACTCTAGTAGGCTTCTGTGATTGATTTTTCCCTGTTAGCTCCTTAGCTCATGGGAAGAGGTAATGTAGCCTTCTATACTCATCCAACACAAAACTGTATTGATTTTGCCTTGCTACTTTTGCTACTTATGATACGTGTTTTCAAATGTATTCCTCTCTGTGCTGCTAACTGTGCTACTGAATTTTTAGACACACACCAGTGCTGTAACCTAAAACATAAGTCTACGGCCCTATATGATAATAGTTTTTGGTAGTTATTCTTTCCCTTTCTCACAGTTTACTGAACACTCATTACAGACACTTCAATTCAACATTAGTCAATTAGTCAGAATGCAGAGCTCTACTTCTGACACACACAGTATTGCTTTCATGTAGTAATTCATAGTTGGTGTAAGTGTGGATCAGAAATCATAAGCAGAACGAGTGGAAAACTAAATCTCAAAAAGAGAAATCTTTTTCAGTGCATAGGAAAGAAAGAGAGAGTGAGAGAGAGAGACAGAGAGAAGGAGAGAGGGAGAAGAGCAAGCATGAGACAGTGACAGAGACAGCAACAGACAGAGTGAAAGAAAGGGTGAGCTAGAAAGAGAAAAAGAGAGACAGTGTGTAAGTTTGTGTATGTGTGTGTACACTTGATCAGCCAACCAGTCAGACAAGTGGAGCAAATTGCCTATTCAGGCCTGGCTTGGCCTTCTGAGCCCTGAGTGAGACTTCCTGTGTGGGTGACCTACATTACAACAAAACCCCTCTTCATCATCCCCAACGCTGCAAACCCAGAGAGAAGGGAGCAGCTCAGCTCGAGCCCAGAGCCCAGCTAAACAGCTCTCTCCTGCAAGAGTGGAAGGATAACACATCCTCCCTCACAGCCGCCAACCTTCAGTCCACCCCAACCATTAACACCTCTCTCTATGACTAATTACAGGCATTTCAGCTGTTCAACATGAAAAGGGGCAGATTTGCTTCCGTGTGGTCCTTGCTCTCCTCATCAGAATGTGCTGGGAGGAGGGAACGTCGGAGGGTAACTCTGTCTGGAGCCTGAAAGAGTCATAACCTTTGAAATTGGAAGAATGAAATCCATTTCATGCCTTGCTGAGGACGAAGGGTGGGAGGATTTGTTTACACGCATATCGGCTGTTGGTTAGGAATAACGGTGCATTGGAATTCAGAGGCTTAGATACGCTGGCTTTCTCTGTTAGCCGTGAGAGGAGGCAAGGTGAAAGAAAAGAAGCGGTGGCACTGTGCGCCTGTGTGTCTGGGTAAGCTGCGGCTGACGGAGCACAAATAAGAGTTCTTATTTTCTCAAGTGAAAATGGAACACAAGAACACATCCACAATCCATTAGTGACTTATGTGGTTATGATTCAGTGCAACGCATGAGTATACGTACATAGTAGTGATGGGAATCACCAAAGGCCCTACGAGATGATATTATC